GGGCTCTTTACTGCCGGAGCTCCGCTCCTGCAGGAAATGACCCCTGGTTGTGTTGATGCTTATTGCCGGCCCTACAAAAGACACACATTGTGCAGCTAAGATTCATGGACGGAGCGCTCCTGTCATTCTCTAGGCAAAATTGACCGGTAGTTGTTATATTGTCTGAACTGAGTGTTGTTGTTATATACTGAATGTACGAATATATATTTATTTATTATGTATTTATTGTTTTCAATTTGTATCCCGCCTTGCCAGCCTGATTAGGAAGTTACAATAAGACACGGTGCACTTTATGGAACGATAGTTATAAACAGAACACATTAATTTAGAAACGTTTCTCGCAGTGTATATTTATTTGTTACTAAATCTCGGAAGCTAAGCAGGGTCGCCCCTGGTTAGAACTTGGACGGGAAGCCCTCAAGGGAAGTCCGGGGTTGCTACGCAGAGGCAGGCAACGGCAAACCCGCCCCTGTCCGTCTCACGCCTTGAAAATCCTCCTGGTTCTCCATAAGCCCACTGTGGCTCGACGGCCCTTTCCCTCCACGCCGTGGATCGACCCCGGGACCTCCTGCACGCAGGGCACCTGCTCCTCCATTCAGCCATGACCCTCTCCATCCCATCCCCCTCCCCTTACGTTTTAATTTGGCTTTCTTTTGCTCTTCTTCGTCTCCTTTTTTTCCCCGTTATTGTTCGTTTTCATCCTCCCCCTTTTTTTTCTTTTATGTCTGTTGTGTTTTTCCCCCATGTAGGAGCGATTATGTTTGCCTCTGCATATTTTAGAAGAGAGAGGGTTGACGCGGGTGGCAGAGACTGTGCAGACCCTCCTGGAGCGGGCCCCCCGCAAACACCACCACCACCAGCAGCACCACCAGCAGCAGCAGCAGCAGCGTCCCTCCGCTGCTATGTAGCCTTCCCAGGGACTCCTTGTTCCTTTTCCCCTTTGGCCCAGCCGAATGACTCCAGGACTTGACCGCTCGGCTCGTGTCCAGCACACAGGCAACGTCGTGATCGGAGGAGGAGGAAATCGATATCCGGGATTCCCGACGGGAATATTTTGCTTCATTTCTCCAATTTTTTGTGGGTTTTTTGGGGGGGGAGGTCAAAAAACGGTTCCCATAGAACTTCTAAACTGTTTCTTTCCCCCCGTTCTGTGTAAAAGTCAGTTTTGTCGGGGAAGGGAGCAGGGAGAGAGGGGGGCGGGGTTTCGCCGGCTGTCAGCTTTATCCTTAAAGATGACCACAGCAGGACTGGGATGTGTCAGGAAACTCTGAGGCCCCCAGTACGTGGCTCTCATTTGTTTTGACAAGAATTGCACACGGGACACTTCCGGCCCGCGGAACCTTCTTCAGTCACCGTGCCCACGTTCCTCAGCCAGCACTTCCGAAGCCTAGCAATATCATCTGGTTATTTTCCTTGCTTTGGCATCGTGCCGGAGTTTTGTGTAGGGTTATTCACGACGGGGAGTTTTCCCCTGGCGACCTGAGTCCCCAGTCGATCGGAGGAGAGTGCCCATCTCGGTATGGTCCCGCTCTAAATGACACCGAGACTCTGAAGAGGCAGAACCCGGTTACAGGCCACTTGCTCCCCCCGTCACTGCCTTCGGTGCCACTGTGTGCCCGAGGCTGGCACTTTGCACTCAAGCGATGCCCTAGGGGTAGGAGGAGGGGGTAGCAGGCCAAAGGAAACACATTGCGGGATTCCGACCCGCCAGCCGTTTGCCCCAGCCTCAGAAATATTTTATTAAGCGGAGAATGGAGCAGGCAGTCGGAGTAAACACAGGCTTCTGTGTGTCGAAGGCAATAAAATTCCCTTCAGTGAGTTAGGAAGAACAGTGGGGGGGGGCTTTATATGTGTGTGTGTGTGCACTGCATTTTTACATGCGGATTTCCCATATAGGCATTCCTCTGCCTTTCCCTTGTTCATCGCCCTCCTCTTTGTGTGTGTGTGTGTGTGTTTTGAAGCTGTTCAAGGTATGCGAACGAGGGTAAGAACCATGCCGGTGCTCTTTCGGAAAGGCGAGGTGCCGCCAGTGAGGCAGGATCTGACCCCGCCTGCCACGTCCCGAGTCCGCCCACACCCTCTGTCTGCTCCCCACTCGACTATGGGGCAGGCACTCTGCCTTCCCAGCCTCATGTCGCCGCTCCAGAGAAGGAGAGATGTTGTGGCACGTCGAGCTTTGGGGAACACGTTTTAGACACACACACACACACACACATGCAAACAGTCCTCATGCCGTCAAGGTATTTCTGGGACTGAGAGCCGGAAAGGACGGGAAACCATGTTGTTCTTCCCGCCCCCGTCCGGACGGAAGCCCTCATTGAACCAGCCATCCTGTGCAGTTGGCGAAGGGAACCGGCACGCTTCCCCAGCTCATGTGGTGCGGCCCGCTGGAGCTGGTGGGCACCATCGGCCAGCCCTCTGCGGGACTCGCCTTTTGTGTTGGCGTACAGGAACGTTCAGGGAAGGCATGGCTAGAGATGTAAAATTTCCGGAAATTTTGAAGCTCGGGGAAAAAACCCGTTTTTCCCCCGCTTTTTTTTCCCGGGGAAAAATGGAAATTTTCGGGAAAATTGAAAAAAAGGCTACATTAGCACTTCTTTTTTCTTTTCTAGATTGAAAGTCATTCTGTTATTTTAGGAACATAAAATATGGCTATGGACATTTTTACTTGACATGAAATTATCACAACTAGCATTTTAAAAATATAGTGTATCCAAACAATTATTGCAAACAGAATACCCACCCACATGCAAAAACAAAACCTGAAATTTTTTTCTTTTTTTGTGACAATAGCACCTCCTGAAGGAAGAAATGCATCTTGTTCTTGCATTGGAGAGTTCATTTTGTAACCTAGGACTTGCTTGTCCCTCAGTGCACAGAAACTAGATCAATCTGATGCCATATGTATTTTTTAGAAATGATTTGGAAAATATTTGAACACCTTGTCCTAAAATATTTTATTCATCATGTTACAATAAAACGTTCCATAATCATTTTTTTTCCTTTACTTTTTCAATTTTTTGGAAGAAAACAAGACTTCAGGGAAAAAACGGGGGGAAAACGTTTTTTCCCCCCCGGGCCTTCACATCTCTAGGCGTGGTCGTGCCAGTCTTGGCCGTCAAAGCCAGGTGAGCCCTGGCAAAGGAAGCTAGGGCACTCGGGTGCTTCCCGTATTTGAGCATCCGGTCAGCCAAGGAACGCCAAGGTTCCCTGAGCAACGGCCAGAGGAGGGTAAGAGAAGTGTTCGGTTGGAGTGCAGAGGCCGCTGGCTAGGGAGTCTAGGAGCGGCATCCCTGGCGTGTCCCCGCAGCCTCCCTCTTGCAGAGCACGGCCTGGTTTTAGTCCCCCATCCCTCTCTGCTTCGCCAAAACGGGAGCGGGAACTTCTTGGTCCTCCCCCACCCCCATCGCTCAGTTTTTTCGTTTGAGGAGTTCTGCCTCGCCCAGGAGGCACATCGATGCAGACGGCTACATCCTCGCATCGATGGCGTTCTCTTGAAGACACACAAAGAATATTTAACGGCACGAGGGTAGCACACAATTGAAGTCCGTTTTATTTCTCCGCGGCCGCTTCTGGGTCTGCAAACGCCGGCTCTGCCACGGGGACCATGCGTGCTCGCACACGCGTAGGATAACGCACTTTGAATCTGCTCCGCAACCGGATTTTACCGGTTGGAGCGGCCGAATCCACTTGCAGACGGCGGCAAAAGGGCACTGGA